TACATCGTTCATTTTTAATCTTTTTAAGCGCTATTAAAATTTCAGTCATAACTTCTTAGTAAGTACGCCATGGCTGCGAATTGTCAAATGAATCTAATGCTATCGGAAATTTGACCTTCCACTGGCAAAATTCCTTTAATGTGAGTTCTAACGTACCCACCTATTCGCGCTCGTAGTTACATACAACCGCACCTACCTTTCCGCTACCAACCTACTCACCTTCCTACTTGACCATCTTGCTACCTATCTACTTACCTACCCACCTAACTACCTTCTTTCTTCCCTGTCTATCTACATTATTCAATGCCGCGCAGTTTAGAAAGATTTATTCATTTTGATCTTTACAGAAAACTATCCTCCACGGATTATCACAGATCTGTCACAAATCAACGTTACTGTGATTCAGAGTGTTAGTGTAACTGTGGTTGCAGAAGACCCTAATAACGACACCCTGAGCTTCTCCATCACTGGTGTTTTGCCGTCTGACGCTGCTTTGCTAAACAATTCCAACTCTGTAACAATAACGTGGAATGGAACTATGGAGCAGGCAAGATTAACAAAAACTTTTTTTTTCACCAAGTGTAAATGTATTTATTCTATATTTTATGTTCATCGTTATTATGTGCCACATAAAAACGGATCTGGATTTATACGAACGTTACCTAAGATAAATATTGTTTTAACAGATTCACATGGAATTCGTGGTAAAAGACAGCCAGGGGGCAATAGCATTTTTGAGGCCAATCATCAATCTATGTGCTTGCCTTAACAACGGTCTTTGTTATCAGTCTACCGACAACAGAAATTCAACACAAAACAATGAGATGAACGTNATACAATATGGTTTATTTGAAACTGTGATAAATTTATTACTTCATAGGGATGTGTGGAATGGTCGACGATGTACTTTTAACAGAGCTGAAAAAAGTGAAATTGTCATGAAAATGAAGTTGGGATCACGGCACACCTTTTCAGTCACTCTAATTTAGTAAAGGTCGCACAGAAAGCTCTAATTAGAGACCTTTGGAGGATTCAACGTGATTCGAAACCTCCAGGGCCTTTAAAAGGAGGTCTAAAAGAAGAATATTCACGTTCCATTCCCGCAAAGCCAAGTTTTATGAGCTGAATAGTAACCAGAAATTTCCACAGAGCATTTGGAGTTATTCTCTTCATCTCTCATTTATATATTCATATATACATATCGCAACTAGCAAGCGTAAGGAAAAGTAAGTAACCGTTCAATTTGTAATAAACAGGATACTTGCATGTTTCCAAAATTACATTCAGAATTGGCAACGTCTACAGACGTTTGCATAAACCCTTAACAACTCTCGCCTCGCGCGCTGCTATATCAGTTAACAAAGTGTTAATGAAATCTATTTTTTAACAACATCTTTCGTTATTTTTTTAGTATATTCAGTTTATATTTGCAACAGTTAATGATAGAACGGTCTCTATCAATTTATGGTGACTGAATTTAAGCTAAACTCAATTGGTGAAAAATGAATGAGTGAGCGAGGAGCTTGGAGATAGACGAGTCATTAAGTGTGCAATTGATATTCTTTGGTTTTCTCGCCTTTAACAACTTTTTTAGTGGAACTTACCTAAAGAGGAAGATTTCAAGGGAGCTGTTGCAGATTCCGTTACCACTTTCTGTGCAAAGATTGGGGATTGCGTAAATGAAAGGAACCGACAAAGGTTTTTATACAATCGGAACTGATTTGAATAATTTATCCTTATTGAGTACAGTGTAGTAATAAATAAAACGACGAAGTAACCTATATGCAGATTTACTGGGCTTTAGTTATAAAATTAAATGATTCGGTATGGTAAAGGTTTTACACAGTACATCAATTACTGACGGCCCCTTTTTGGACTGTGAAAAGCAAATGTTAAGTCGGTAAGGCTAATGATAAATTTTTATACGAGCCTATGTTGTCTGGGTTAATGCACCTACAGAGACGACTATGCAGGCTAATTATGTCTACTCGAGACAAAAGAGCCTCAAGCCGTCGAGTTTTTTCGGGTGTCCGTAGCATTAAGCAACAAGGTGGATTTCTACACAACGCTAGATGGGATGTAAGTCCATCATAGGTGATTTATACACTTAAGTGGAGAGAAGCTTTGTTTAAAGAGCGCAACGCAATGACCCCGGCTGGTTCCGGAACCCTGGCAGCTCGATTTGGATTCTAGTGCACTAACCAAGAGGCTCCCCACTTTCTAGGGACACCTATTATCCTTGTATCTCAAATGACAATACCGACCACTGACTAAAAAAAAAACTTTTTGTTTGGTTTTTAGGAGAGCGTTGGACTACATCTTATTTACGTCTGATCAAGTACACCTTCTTCCAGGATTTCCAGAGCAAGATGTTTATCCCCTACAAATTCGCCTCGCGATTTATGTCCAGTTTCCTCCAGGAGTAGCTCAAGACTCCAGTTCCACCCTGTCCAAGAACACATTGCTTACTGTCATCATTGAATCTCGTGAAAAGCTGGAGAAGGCGCTGAACGTGACCGTAATAAACATAACAGCTGCTTTCTTTGACGATTCCACGGAGGGCAGTTACACTGTGACTCCTCCCATCTATCGTGAGAAAAGGATGAAAGATTATTTCATTGTTGGAGGCGCAGTGGTTGGATTCCTTTTTGTTGTTTTTGTTTTAATCTTGTGCAAGTAAGTCCACTTCACAGTTTTATAACCTTGAAGGACGAACAGCGTCATGTCATGTCATGTCAAATAGGTCACGTTCATTAGACGTTTCGGGCGTAGCCGTTCTTCAGTATTTTGAACATACCGAAGAAGGCCCAAGCCTTAAACGTCTGGTTTACAAGAGTTACGTTACACTTGTTTTTTTTCAGTCTTAAGGTGTCTTACTACAGTTTTGATGGACCATAACGTTTTTAAAACTCTTTTGAAAGTTGTTCCAAGGTGTTTTCCCTTTCTCTGATTACTGTTTTCTTAATTCTTTTGCCATTGGATGTTGCGCTTAAACAAATTTTATACCTTAGTAAACAGCCAAAATGCCGAGTGGCTGGGATAGACTGGACATTAGTAGGTTTAATGACGTTTTTCTCAAAATCTACCGGTATGACCCTACCTTAAAGTTAGCAATTGGTTCTGGTTAAACATTCATGCAAAGTAAAGTAAAAATCTAAAGGGCAGATTATTTGAAAACAAATACTTTTTCAAAACTTTTGGCTCTGAGCGCGATACACTCGTAAAACTAAACTGTGAAAATTTCACCATAGCCTTAAACGGTAGGTTTTCAACAGGTTTTTTTGCGCGGGAATTGAATATCGCATGCCCTTTGTTTAAGTGCGCGCTCATGTGACGCCTGGTATCGCGTGTGAGAAAGTAAGGGTAAATTACAATTCTTGTACCAGTTGTTTATCTTTCTTTTCTTTTTTGTCATAGTTTATCGGTCCTAGCTACCCCCCCCCCCTTAAAACGACCGCAGAGAGGCCCAAATGTACCTTAAAAGATGGTCCTCACAACTTAAAAATGACTTATTTTTCATTTTTCCTAGTAAAACAGACTCGCCAAAAATATTTTTAATTGAAATATTGTATTAATTAACCTGTTGGGAATGTTGTAGAAATTTTATTTCTTAAATTATTGTCTTCGCCATATCATTTGCATTTTTTAGGTGTTGCATTTTAAGAAAACGTTTTGCGAAAGAAAGAGAGGCTGCTGATAAGGATGGTGAGGCGGTAGAGTTGGATGAATGCTGCAAACATCAGATTGAAGGAGATCTAGGTTATACCAACGAGCAAGTCGTTAACAATGATGAAGATGCTAACAACGAGTAGCATCTTCTAAAGAAGTTTGGACTGTACTGTAGTTAGAGTCGTGCGGCTAAGTTAGAATTCATGCCCTAGTAGTTGTTGCTTTAAATCTTTAGAGTGTTTGAGACGAACAGGACAACATGATGTGTCAATGGCGAGCTATCAGTTTATTTCGCAGGCAGTTATCTTCAAAACGTTACCTGATCAGCAAGCTTTTATTCTTCTGCCTCGTGACCGTACTCCAAAAACGTACTGATTCCTGATATTATAACGTACACATTTTTAGTAACCAAATACAACGTGTTTTCGGTAACCTTTTGTCAGGGCCGGATCGCACTTGCGGACAGGTCTGGTACATTTGGTGGATTTTGTCATCAATGCATCGCTTGCTGCAAACACGTTGCGCCTTACAATTTTTTAAAGCAAGCAAATTTCCTATGATCGGCCCTCATCACACTCTGTGATGCATTTTGTTATCTTCAGTAAAAAAAACTGTGACAAATTGCGTCGAAAGAAACTTCAAAAAGGGCCGTCCTCGCGGGAGCAATAAAGTTTCCGATTGCTAATTGTGTTTTATATGGGAATTAGCGCAACTCCAGCACCAAGGAAGGACGTTTTAAAGGTAAAGCCAACAAGATTTGGATTACTTGTTTTAAGATACCTGCGTTAGAAAGGACGCAAAGTTTTGAAGAAATTGCACTGCAAACCAGCGTCATTGACACGGAAGTACTTGTTCAAGAAGGCAGCGGGTGCATGAGACAGAGATTTACCTATGTTCGTCCTTGCCTTACGATTGAACTTTTTAGTTCACATATATTAATTTGTGTTTGCGATTTGCTTTAGATATTAGCGAACCGATGTTTGCGTTTGTTCTTGCTTGTTCACGCGTGCAGGTAGTTGCCTTAACTTCAGTTTCAAATATATTTCATCTTTCATGGGTTGATTGAACGGTTTTAGAATTTTGATAGTTTTTGTTTTTTCCGTCTGTTGCTATGGTTTAAAAACTTGACAGCTAACTTTCAGTTTCGATAGGGTCTCGTCAGAGACCCTATATAGGACAAATGTAGATTTAAATAAATAATGAGTTAAAGTAGCTCTCGACAGGAGTGACTGTAGGATAGGATAACACTTCAATCTTTGTACCCTATCGTACCTTTTTGGTAAGACAACATATCAGACGAATTTGGGGCAGCCATGGTTATAGTTTGGCGAGAAGAAGTGAAGCTAAGGAGAGACTAACTGAGCCTCTATTTTGCCGACCAAACCATTTAGGTACAATTAGATATTTACCGTACTCTAAATTCCACCATAAAACCAGCCATACAAGGTCAGTGGCTTGATAACACAGGATATCAGAGCAAAAGACAAGGATTCGGAATTTGCTAATTGCGAATTGAAGTACGTTAAATGACGTAAATGACGTAATTTTATCTACAGATACTTCAAAGCTCTTGTAACCATCGCTTTTAATCAAATTCTTAGATAGCTCTAATAAACGTTTTTGGAAGCATGTAGTCTTTACACATTTGCAGTAGCCTTTTATTGGTTTTCATGACTAGATAATCCCAGGTCCTTTATGCTTCAAGTTTTTCTAGCGGGTAAGCAGGTAATATCATTGTAAACATTTTCGATGCTTTATTAAAACAGAAAGAAAAGATAAACTGGTGAGAAGTTCGTTCTTATTAACCAGGAAATGACGATGACGAATTAGCGTGAAAGACAATTCATCGAAAGGCATTTCATCTCGACATTCCAAAGTTCTAAACCGATCGCTAGCATGCGCTTTGAGATACAATGGAATCCCAAAACTAAATTGGATCCACTTATTTCATTAAAAAGTGAAGCACGTTTATCATTATCTATAAACTCATGAACATCTTCACGTTCCAAGCCTGTAAACACTGGAAATTGAACTAACAGTTTCTTCAATGAAACGCAAATACATCTTTTTCGTTATATATCTTATTTCCAATACCCACTG